TTCCAATACAGTAAGTAGCAATAGATACATAGCCAATATCAATAAAAGCTCTTTGGGCCCTCACTTACTTTAAATTCTAAGAGCTGGAGAGGACCCTGGGGTGTTTCTGGGGGACTTGGGGCAAGTCTTATTTAGACTCTGGGTCGTGTGTAGCGGGGTAGTTGAGGGCAGGGTTTTGAGAAGCAAACACGGCTGGTCCCAAATAGTGTTTGTTTATTTATTTATATATGTACTTTTCTGAGACAGGGTCTCGCTCCGTCGCCCAGGCTGGAGTGCAGTGGCTTGGGCGGCAGAGTGAGAAAGCGAGACCTTGTCTCAAAAACTGTGTGGCGTGCAGGCTGGTGGAGCGATCGTACTGTGTCTCTGTCTCCTGCACGCTGACTGTTACGTGGCTTCTATTATCTCAGTGTTATAGTAGTGAGATCCGCTTTGCATGTCTTAAAATTTGTTTCTTTCTTTCCTTTTTTTCCTTTCCCTGGGGATTAACCTGGGGGGCCGCAGGCTGGTTATCAGAGCCCAGGAGTTCAGCACCCACTGGGTCCCAGGTTCCCCCCGAGCAGTTGTTCCCACAGGTGAGGTCTGAATGCTCACAGACACCTCGTGGGGCAGGCATGCAGATACCTCCATTCTACAGGGTGGGAGGGGAGACTGAGCCTGGGAGGGAGGGAGGTACCCACAGGTCAGGCGGCTGATGACCTTAAGGACCTCCGGGGGGTCCCAGCTTCTCACACACTGCAGATCTTAAGAACAAGACCTCAGGGAACAACAACCCCGTGGAAACTTCCTCCGAGGTAGCTCCTGGTATTATCCCCGCTTTACAGAGGAGGAAACAGGCTCACGGAGGCGCTTTCTCCAGTTGAGTCTAGCACATCAGCGTCAGAGCCGAGGCTGAGCCCGCACCTGCCCCGGAGCCCGTGCCCTCCTGACCACCAGACGACGTGGCCTCTTGGGATGCTGGCCACAGCCCCACGGAGCTCAGAGGCCCCTTTCTCAGAGGAGGAAACTGAGGCTGAGACAGGTTTAGTCAATTCCCGAGTTCACACAGGTGATGAGTGGAAGAACCAGGGGTAGAATTCAAATCTCTCCAACCCCAGAGCCCCGCTCTTCACCCACCTCAAATCTACCTGGGGTTCCCAGAAGCTGGATGAGGTAAGCTCCCTCCGCTGCTCCCACTCCCATGCCAGGCCACCCCATGCTAGGCCTGGCACACGGGATTCCCATGGCTCATTGTGATAGCTTGCAACTGTCTCCACTTTGAGAGGAGGGAACTGAGGCCCAGAGAGCCCACATGAAGGACTCAAGGCCACGCAGCGAGAAAAGAACAGAGTTTCAACCCAGGCTCACGTGGCTTCACGCCAGCTCTTGTCAGGACCCCCTCGGCTCAGCCGTGCTCAGAGCCCTCCCTTGTCAGCCCCGCCAGCCTCTCTCTGCAGCCTCTGTTGGCTCCTCTGTCCAGTGCGAACAAGGAGCTGGGGGGATGCACCCACTACCGGCAGGGGACTTGGTAGAAGCTGGGTTTCATGGCACTATTAGAACCTGAATGAATTAACTCAGCAGCAGTATGCTCCCGGGAGCATCCAGAGATTCCAATACCAGTGGGCAGCCCCACAGTCTGACCTCACTGTGCTGCAATCACAAGCCCTTGGTCCTTTTGGGAAAATATCAGACCTCTTCTCTGTGCCAGCCTCTCAACCTGGTTCTGCCCCTCCATCCATCCATCCATGATCCATCCATCCATCCATCCATCCGTCTGTCATTCGTCTGTCCATCCATCCATCCATTCATCCGTTTCTTTCACACTGAGCACTTACTGCTGTGTGTCTGGGACAGTCCCAGGTACTGGGGCTATAGCTGAGAACAAGACAGCCAGGGTTCCATCCTCCTGACAAGGGCAGACAAGACACAAGGTGTCAATAAGAGTTTTGCAAAAGGTTAAACAGGATGAATATGTTAGGGAGCTCGTGGGGTGTAGGCATCCCCCCGTTCTGCAGTAGAGCCAGGAGTGAAACCGATCAACAACCTGATCCAGGGATTCTCCAGTATTCCACACATCTTCAGACTGTCTCCAGCATTTAACCCCACTTTTTCCAGAGGCGATCATGTGCATTACAGTAAGACTCAAAGTCAGGTAGCAGAAGTTCTCCAACTCCTTTTATTCCAGGTTGCTTTGATTATTTTAGATCATTTGTATTTCCATAGCAACTTCAGAATCAGTTTGACAGTCAATTTCTTTTTTTTTTTTGGAGACGGAGTTTCTCTCTTGTTACCCAGGCTGGAGTGCAATGGCGCGATCTTGGCTCACTGCAACCTCCGCCTCCTGGGTTCAGGCAATTCTCCTGCCTCAGCCTCCTGAGTAGCTGGGATTACAGGCACGCGCCACCATGCCCAGCTGATTTTTTGTATTTTTAGTAGAGACGGGGTTTCACCATGTTGACCAGGATGGTCTTGATCTCTTGACCTCGTGATCCATCCGCCTCGGCCTCCCAACATGCTGGGATTACAGGCGTGAGCCACCGTGCCCGGCCTTGACAGTCAATTTCTACAGAAAAGTCCTGAGGAGATTCTGACTGGGATTGCAGTAAATCTAAGGATTCGTTTGAGAAGGATTGACCTCTTATTAATATTGAGTCCAGTTCATGTTCAATCCGTGAACATGGTATAGTTCACTATTGACTTGAGTCTCCTTTAATTTCTTCCGGCCATGCATTATATTTTTTCAGTAGGACAATTATCTGAAAGGAGAGATGGCAGGACTTATGGACGGATTGGAGGTGGGTGGTGAGGAGAAAGGGGTTGGGGGCAAGGCTGAGTGCCCAGATTTCTGCTTGAGCCACTGGTGGAGATGAGAAAGAAAGCAACTTGCCTTAGAAGACCTAGCTCAGAGAGGAAGCGCTTGGATTTGGTTTCAGCTTAATTGATCCCAGGGCCATGTGCAGGATGAGCTGAAACCCACCTCTGTGTACCCCCACCCCTGCAAAGACTCTGGATCTACGAGCTAACCAATACCCAAATTCCCCGGGGCAGGTGATTTAGGAGTTGCTGATGCCTTCTCTATCCTGCAAGAAGTGATTTTCTCCTCCCTCTCCCGCACAGCTGACCTTCCTTCCCTGCTCCAGGGCCAGAGGGTCTGTTCCAGGACTGGATTCTCCCATCAGGAGCCTCTGGACTGGTCACCGAGGGTCAGGCAGCCCCTCCCTCTCCTGCTGTCACCCCTGGCTCTTCAAGCTAATGAGACCTGTCCTGATTCCCCAGCCAGGCCTGCAGCCTTAATCTTTCCTAGCAGGAGGTTTGGGGGAGGGAGGAGAAAGAAAGGGCTCCTTATGGCTGAGACACAATGACCCAGCCACCAGGAGGGATTACCGGGCGTGTGTGTGTGCTCGCGTGTGCTTGTGTGCGTGTTTGGGTGCATGGGGAAGTGAAACAGAGCCGTGTGGGGCCCAGGAGCTCAGGGAGATATTAATACTCAAAGAGACAGCCGAGAGGAGAGACACACAGAGAGGGCCCGAGACAAGGAAAACTGGAAATGCAGAACAACAGAGGTACCAGGAAAGGGAGAAGGACAGAGATGAAAAGAAATCCTCCTGGCTACTCGGGAGGCTGAGGCAGGAGAATTGCTTGAACCTGGGAGGCGGAGTTTGCAGTCAGCGGAGATGGTACCACTGCACTCCAGCCAGGGTGACAGAGCGAGACTCGGTCTCAAAAGCAAAACCAAAACAAAACAAAAAAATAAAAGGCAATCCAGAGGGAGGGGAAGGAAGAATCAGAGAGAGAGAGCGATGGGGAAAGAGAGAAGGTGGAACAGAGGTTGGAGCTGCAGAGAGGCATGGTGGATAAGTGAGGACAGAGGAATGGAGACGAGGCTGGAGTTACAGGCACAGGCAGACAGGCGGAAAGACAGCACAGAGAGGGACAGACAGACAGGAACAGAAAGACACAGAGGCTGAGGGAGAGGGGAGAGAGAGCGAGACAGATGGAGAGACAGAAACAGAGAGAATAAGAGAGATCGAGGAGTAATGCAGGTTTCTCAATCAGGACAGGGACAGAGAGAAGCAGATGGAGAATAGAAGACGAGTATTTCTGCAAGTAGGCAGAAATGCCGCAGCCTGAGGCCCAGAGAAAAAGAAACGGAGAAACAGAGATGCCAGACAAAGACCAATGGTGTGTAGAGAGATGGAGAGTGCTGGGCTGGGTGGCAATCCCAGCACTTTTGGAGGCCGAGGTGTGGGAGGGTTGCTTGATGCCAGGAGTTTGAGCCCAGCCTGGGCAACATAAAGAGACTCCATCTCTACAATAATAATGATCATAAAAATTAGCTGGGTGTTGTGGTGTGTGCCTGTAAAGTCTCAGCTACAGGAGGCTGAGGAGGGAGGATCCCTTGAGCACTGGAGGTCAAGGCTGCTGTGAGCCATGATCGTGCCACTGCACTCCAGCCTGGGCGACAGAGTGAGATCCTGTCTCAAAAAAAAAAAAAAAAGAAAAAGAAAAAAACTCCTCATACCCCAAAACACCACCAAAAACAGAAAAACAAAACATCCTTTCTAATAAGTCTGCCTATTTTTAGTGCTGGGAGACAACCCCCGCCACCCCTCGCCCCCAAAAAGAGGACACTGTCATGTCTGACAACATAGAGTCAGGCCACAGACAAGAGTTGACCAAAAGGGGAAACTGAGGCAGAAACCGAGAACAATGAGGGCGTACAGAGATAAACGAGCTGTCAGACAGGCTGCTGTGGAGAGAGAGTGGGGACCTGGGAGAGGCATCCCGAAAGCCCTGGGCCTCTCTTTTTTTCAGATGATCTCTCAGCACCATCTGACAGTTCTGTCCTTCCTCTTTGATGCCTCTCTCTCGGGCTACTAGCTGAAGCTGGAGGGACACCAGTTAGACCTAAGGAAGGACTTCCCTGAGGAGTAGAGGCTTATGGGGCCTCCCTTCCCCATCAGCCCTAATTGCCAAGATGTCATGGGGGGAAGAGGAGGGGATTAAGCAGACGGGTGCCCCTCCCCCTCCCAGCCAATGTCACCTCCTGGTGCCCAGTGGAGTCCCCCACCTTGGCCGGGATTACCCTCCGAGATCCAGGCCATGACAAATGACATCACTCCCAGCCCGGGCTTAAAATCTCCCCATGTGAGGGGACGTGTTTCCTCCAGCCTCTGCAGTCGGCCCGCTCTGTCTACGTCCTGGGCCACCAGGAGAGCCCCATCCCTGCTTTCTGAAGGTGAGTGTCTGCAGGAGAGACCCAGGGCACCAAGGAAGGGCGAGGGAATGGGGAGAAAGGAAGAGAGGGGAGAAGTTGGGTGTATTCACTCCAAGGCTGTGTTTGCTGTGCCCTGCAGGTTATTTGCTGAATAGTCATACACAAAACAGAGGTCCTGTCCCGGCATTTGGGGGAATGGGGCTGGGCTGTGATTGCAGCAAGCGCGAATGAGGTCAGACAGCAGGGACCAGCCCACGGCACTCGGGGCCTTGGAGGATTCAGGAGGCTTGTGGGTGAGGGGATCTCCTCAAGCCCTGACTGCCTCCGGGGTTGGGGGCTTCTCACGGTGGTTCTAAGGCAACTCCTCAGCACATCGCTCTGTTGGATTTTCTTTTTTTTTTTTTGAGACAGAGTTTCACTTTTGTTACCCAGGCTGGAGTGCAATGGCGTGATCTCGGCTCACCGCAACCTCCGCCTCCTGGGTTCAGGCAATTGTCCTGCCTCAACCTCCTCAGTAGCTGGGATTACAGGCATGCGCCACCATGCCAAGCTAATGTTTTGTATTTTTTTAGTAGAGATGGGGTTTCACCATGTTGACCAGGATGGTCTCGATCTCTTGACCTCGTGATCCACCCGCCTCGGCCTCCCAAAGTGCTGGGATTACAGGCTTGAGCCACCGCGCCCGGCCTGAATTTTCTTTAAAACTCTTAGCACTGCCTGAAATATTCGTGTGTGTGATTATCCACCAGTGGCCTATCTCCCTCACTGAACATTCGTTTCTCCCCAGTGCCCAGCATGTGGCTGGGATTTGCCTAAATATGTGTTGCATAGATGGATGAATGAATGACAGGCGTGGGACCGATGGACATACAGGCAGAGAGCTCAGGTCTGTGGCTGCAGCGGGAAGGACTCCAGGTGGACTTGAGCCTACCCTCGAGCTGGGAATGTGATGATTGGGGATCACTGTGCTGATGAATCCATCACTTGGGACCTCAATGCACCCAGAGGCTCTGGCTCTCAGCCCAGGCTCCATTTCAGGACTGGGGACTCCTCACACCTGCACCCTGTTAACTTCCAGGGCAGTCATCCTGTCTGATCTTCTGCAAAAGCCTTTAGCCTTTTTTTTTTTTTTTTTTTAGATGAAGTCTTGCTCTGTTGTCCACGCTGGAGTGCAGTGCCATGATCTCAGCTCACTGCAACCTCCACCTCCTGGGTTCAAGCAATCTTCCTGCCTCAGCGTCCTGAGTAGCTGGGATTACAGGCGTGCGCCACCATGCCCAGCTATTTTTTTGGATTTTTAGTAGAGATGGGGCTTCACCACGTTGGCTAGGCTGGTCTGGAACTCCTGGCCTCAAGCGATCCGCCTGCCTCAGCCTCCCTCAATGCTGGGATTATGGGCGTGAGCTATCGTGCCCTGCCCATCTTCTGCAAAACTCTGATTGACCCCTTGTTTCTTGTCTGTCCCTGTCAGAAGAGCTGAGACCTTGTCTGTCTTGTTCTCAGCTGTATTCCCAGTGCCTGGGTCAGTCCTAGACACACAGTAAGTACTGAGTGAATATGGAGGGAATGAACGAATGAAGGAATGAATGAGTGAACGGCAGAAGGGCAGAAGCAGGTAAAAGACTGCCTCAGAGAGGAGGTGCAATGTGGTTTTCCCCAAAAGGACCAAGCAAGGGCTGCGACCGCCGCAGTGAGGTCGGACTTGGGGGCTGTCCACTGCGTTTGAGTCTCGGGATCTTTCGGGGACCACGTTATTGATCACTGAGTTGATTTGCTGAGGCTCTAATGGTGCCATGAATCCCGGCTTCTACCAAGTCCCCTGCCTGGTAGTGGGTGCGTCCCCCCAGCTCCTTGTCCCCACTGGACAGAGGAGCCAACAGAGACTGCAGAGAGAGGCTGGCGGGGCTGACAAGCGAGGGCTCTGAAGGTGGCTGAGCAGGGGGGGTCTTGCCACGGGCTGGCGTGAAGCCGCATGAGTCTGGGTTGAAACCCTATCCTTTTCTCCCTGCATGGCCTTGGGCCCTTCATGTGGGCTCTCTGGGACTTGGTTGCCTCCTCTGCAAATTCCTGGATGTTCCTTCCCTCCCCCTCCATGAGACTGGTCTTCCTTTGATTGATTTTTTTTTTTTTTTTTTCAACTTAGACCCATCTTGGGGGAGGTCATCTGA